TATGGAGGAAGGGGTTCAACCCTTTCACTGTTTATCACACCTTTGCATGCCACTGTGTACCTGACCACCGAAGAGATTGCATCCTGACCAGTGTTGATAAGATCGACGGTGTTCACACCCAACGATTGTACACAAACCAGATTGGCCCACGCTGTTCACTTGTCGTGGCCGAAGATCGATCACGAGGGTGTGACGCATAAATGATGCGTTGTAGGGACCTGAATGTGTGAAACACATCGCACCGCTCAGTCCAAATCCCTTCCCAAACCATTTTATCATATGACAGTTCAGACTCTAGGGAGAATTATTGAAAAAAATTTTCACCTATGAACGTGTTTCACGTTATAATGGAAGGACTACAAAGTACGTACCTTTGCTAAACATCGTATATTATTATTATATTATATTATTATATTATTCTAAACTCTAGGACCATTTTCATTCAACAGAATGATCTAATCAACCGTCAGTCATAAATAACGTGTATGGAAAATAGCGAACACTTGAGTGAAGTCACTCATCACTTTTTTGAATGATTCCGTTATTGAAATAAAATTGATAATAGACTAGACTGTACGGCTTTTGTCAAGGTGAACCCCCGAAGCGAAAAACAGTATTCCATGGCGTTCCCTTGAAGAACAACATGTTTTACATTGGCCTCTTTCTTAAGGACGGAAAAATGATACTGTTTGAAGTGTTAGTTGTGAGGCACAATCTAATCGATGTGAAAAATCATCCTGCGCAGAACACTGCGCGTCCGAACTTCACCTGTGAAGCAGCACTTACTACTAAACGTCAATTCATACATGCTTTGTTAATTCGAATGGGGACTCAAAACATGCAGAAAGGTGCTCGCCTGCCCCAATCGAGAAGCACGTTCAATATAGTGTCAGAGGTCATTTGATGGAATCAAATGATCAGAGATTATCCTCAGTGTGACATTTAGTCCTCCACCCGCACTACACAACCGGAGACACAATAACAGTGAATGACACAGAACCCCATCATCAGTCAACACCCTAAACGTAAATCAGAATAAACAGAACAGAGTATCTGAATTGTGCTATTCATCTATGTGCATCGGCTAGTATTTACGAACGATTTAGGGTTGATTATGCCAACATTGATCCCCCACTTATCAGATTCCCCGAATCTGATCCCATTAGAAGACGGAAATCCTTCCTGTCGATGGACATACTAAAATAATTTTCTATCACATCTTCAAAAAAAAGTGTGAAGATTTTTTCATTTCAGTCGAGCTACTTACTGGTAAATGTCACATCGCGTCAAATGTTGAAATGCTGATGATGTAAGATGTCATCAGAACAGACAGCTCAGTTGTTACACGTTTCCATGTGTGAGATAGCTTAAGAGTCTGATAGTGGAATATCAAACGCAACGAAAGTTGTAAATGATTACGTACATTACATAAATCCACGGACTATATGTGAGCGCTCATAGGAACCAGTAGTATTTCGTGAATGCATTGGATAATGGATAACCTAAAGGTCAATTGGAGCACACCATGTCAACGGTCCAGATCCCCATATAGCATGCATGTTTAGAGATGCGATTTTGCTTGTTCTGTTGAACAGGAAGAAACTGACGAGACCCCCTTTACCCGATATTATTATAAGGGTAGTTACTTTAGATGAACTTGTTCGTATTATGATAAGTTATGTGTGCCTTATGGGTGTCGTTTAACTGAGCCATCTATAAGTCAATACTGAGTGACCTTTTCGCAGAAAAGTTCGCACAATCTTATGCCTTAAGCAACGCATTATGAGTGTTTCTAATTCTATTCATATTGTAAAATAAATAATGCAAGGATAAACAATGTGAAGTACCTTATCAAGTGAGCGAGTGACTGAGCATCAGCAGAACAGGTTGATGTATTCGAAACACTGACAAAGGAGATTAGATCCGGAAACTCGAATACATTCATGAAGCTTAACGGGAAAATACAAACTCCATGGAATGAGTCATCTAAGTCAACCATACACTAATCCCCAATGTGGTAAGAAGAGTTTGACATGAAGAAGGTAGTTCACAACTGAAAACGATACTTGTGGGACAAATTGGACAAACCGTGCCGGTGTGGAGTGAGTGAGAGGAACAAAAATCAAAACGCGTATTTGTACACATCCGTTAGTGAATCGTGAGTGTTACAAGGGACTACTTAGGAGGAGTCACATCGTTTATCAATCATCATAATCTGTGTGGTACAGCTCAATACGGTTAGAATCAAATGAATATAAATTGTATAAATCATTAGTATTACTAAAGACTCATTGATCATTTATCCTCGTGCAGGTGCTTGACCCCCACAGTGATGTTTCGTAATTGTAAATAACTCAACGAATGTTCCACACTGATAACGGTTACGAAGATCAAACATTCATGCTTTTAGTCAGCTTTTGCTATCGTATAATGCAGATATGAGTGTGAGAAGTTGGTTATGAAGACTTGCAAGATTCGTGTTGACGGTAGATAAGTCTTCTTTTCTCGTTCGGTTCAACTTGAGGCTAGATACAATAACAATTTGTTGATACATTCCACGGGTCACGTTCACTTCGCAGGCACACCAAAAAGGTCACGAAACTTTTATTCGTCAACTTTTCTTATACATTTTCATTTTAAAGGATTCATGAAGCATATCTCATCCAAATACCGCAATCCGATTAAGCACATTCTCTCGCTCTCTCGAATTTACATGTTTTCGGTAGTCTAAACCAGATCTGTCGGCTTACATTTTGTCTAAATTATCTTAGTAGTTTGTTGAAAATAATGGCATTAAGAAGCAAACCGTGATTACACGCATCTGGAGACATTCTGTGCGACCAATTTTCAACCATCTACATTATCACTGTGATAGAACGACACATAAATCTAATACTGCTTTATTCGGTTTGGTTTTAAACAGTCTATTCTTTGGAATGTTTCCCATGCAAGTGCATTGCTACCCGTTCGGCTTAAGATTCGGCAGTATATAGTTTTGAAATGACATACGCGGTGGACAGAGAAAGCCTTTGAATTTGATTCTTCTTTATTCTTGAAAATTGATTGCAATATTTTTTACCAAAATGCGCATGCTCACACACACATAACCTATAACCACTTGTTTCAACTCCTGCCCCTCACCCTAAAAACACACACATTGTAGAGTGAAGCAAATAATGCAGATTTTCAAAAGCTCCATGTGAAACTGCGTGAAATATCCCCCGATGTTGATGTGACATCAATAGTCGAACTCTTGAACAGAAATAAAAATTTATCGCACTGGCAACCAATTGAATATCTGCCGCCAGACAGCGATTGTCCCGAAGTAAGTGTTATCCGATACATGACGCTTTTCGCATTTATTTATGTAGTACCTATTTATTTATGTGAATAATATATATTATATGAATAATGAATAGACTGGGTTCCATTTCGGACTACGGTGATCACGAAAGTTGTATTACCACTATATTTCGTCATACTCATGTATTTTACAGTGTTACACCAGAGTCAGTTAATAATTACCCCATGATCGATTTATTAATGATACTTTTGTGACATAGGTTAGACTTATTCCTTGCTATTTGACACTTCGTTACCCACAAAATTACATTCGTTGACACATACAAATAAAACAGTCGCATTATTTTGAATTATGGCTTAGTGAATCATGATCTGTTTGTACTCAGGTTTGGGATTTAACTTGACAACTGTAACAAGTATTTATCTTAACGATTCACTAGGACTGAATGTATTTTACAATAACTCATAACACAACATTGTGTGGTATCGAAGAGCACTGGCAACCCCACAGACATGAACATCAGCAGTTCGCTTGTTTGTATTGTCATTTTAATCTTCGGGACTTGGAATGACCAAGACCATGTAGCCCCAGGAAGTGTGATAATTAAAAAGTGGTGTTCGACGGCGGGCGAAATCCGATTGTTAGCTATTCTCAGAAGAAGAAAAATATTTGTTTTACGCGATACTTTAACTTACGATGATGCATACCAATATAGAAAAATCAATAGTGACACTCATAGTTACATCGAAGGTGCACAAGCCCCTGGGAATACAACCATAGATAATCCACATTTCGTTATTACGTTATCATCCGATTGACTGTATATCTTATGAACAACGTTAACCTGTTCTATCTCAGTAGTAATTTACACAACTTGTGCAAATTGCGTTTTGTGATGCTGGAAATAACACTTTTCCCCTTGTAGTCATATTTTATTGAATGACGAAATCCCCTGGGAACAGCACGAATCTTTTCTGTTCTTTCTGCTCCTCAAGTACACAAAGCCAGTAATGTTTTACGTTTTTTGTGTATCAGAGGAAGAACATGACCACTGAACATAGCCCTTCCTCGGATACGGGTAAAAATTTCATTTGATTCAAATCAAATTTTACTGGATTCGCATCAAATAAAATCACTAACTAGAAACCCAACGAACATTACACACCGAGAGTAGTTTATAACTGGTTAAACAGCCATAAATTGATAGCTTACCCGGTTGTTTTATTACGATGACGTGAGTGTTATGGATGTCTACCTCCCATGAATATAAATCTTGTACCCTTTTTGCCGCACTCTCTAAGCTGGTTTCTCTCCTACTTTAGCTTGTTTACGAAAAACGTTTAATAAAATCAAAGAGCTTGGTACATTTATTCATACTCGATGGTGGTAATTGATAGAAAGATAATTATATCCGTGATTCTGCGAGGAAGCTGTAGTTCGAACCATAAACACACACAAACTAATACACTGTTCAGTTTTATCGAACCAAAATCCTTCGCGATGGTTACAATTTCAGCTCAATCACACAAAGCTAAATTTACTTGAACCACCTATAGATGGGAGAATTTTCTTGTGTGATCCACGCACCGCGGTAATATTTTCCCTTACTTGATGACGTAGAAAATCAAATGCCATCTAGCCTTATTTCATTCACCAAGTGTTCGCTTGCGTGTTTTTGTGTTATTTCGTTGCTCAGATACTACGGTCGGAGCAAATTATAGTTGATAAACTGGTCAAGTCCGAACTGCAGACAAAGTTTGATCAATTGAAGAAACAGTTCTCCGAACTGTCCTCATTTATGCAACAGAATCGTGATGTAGTGGAAACCTTGGAAAATTTGGAAAAACGGTACGTTTATTGAACTGGTCGTTGGAGACTGCTAAATGGGAGCCCAGTTCACGTTTTGTCGAATTTGTGTTCCGCTCAAGCGTGCGAGTGCGTATGATCGTACAGCGACCTTGTTAAAAAAGAATTTTATTTTCTCTCTGTCTTCCAAACGCACACAAACTACTTACTATCATTTTTGTTTGACTCATTCCGGAACATGCATCCGAATGGTGCTCGTTCACTTTTTTAACTAACTAAAAGTAGGGGCATGATAGGTTTCCATAACTTCGTACACTCTCTTTTTCTTCCGTTTCCACTGTCCTGAACAAATTCAAATTCTCAAGCAGGTAACAAAATGTAGACACTGGCAGCAGACAAAATTTTATTACTTTTGTCTGGACAACTTGAGAGCATTTTTACATTCAGCATTATACATTTTTTCGGTTGCGGAAACCATCGGGACGGACGGGATGGGGTCTCTAATGCGTTTAGTTACTACGGAACTTAATTTTCAGTACTGGTTGGACGGTTTATCCTACATTTTCACCGGAGTAGGAATTACACCGGTGTTAGGATAATCCAAAACCAAAACTTGGGTCGATCCGTGATCATCGAGATAGTAGATATGATTTCATTTTCACTGGATTATGCGCATAGTGGCTTGGTCTGTCCAGGGGCATCGGAGAGAAAGTTGAATAACTTGAGGTGTGAGTGAAACACTTTTCAGTCGTGTTATAATTACCGAACTGTTCTCGGTCAGCCACTAATGTGTAAAGTCATAAAATCCACAAACTTTTTTCGTTATATCTTCTTTCTAAGTCGTTAAAGCACCGACAAGTAATTTGTGTCTAGAAATTTGCACACAGACTGTCTACTCATCATCACAATCCGAGGTACGATGGACTGTTTTCTAATAGAGGTAGGAACAATCAAGGCTTAATTGGTTTTGGTGTTTTAGTTGGAGTAATCTCTCAGTCGGTGCATTGTCGCATTGTACAACGGGTACGGTGAGTAGAGGATATTGGTTCAATTGTATGTGTTTGCTACGCTCATTGCATATTGAACAGAAAAACCTTGAAATAAATAAACGGAGCTGCCACTGGAAGGCCGCTCGTACCGGTTTTGATTGATATGGTTCTAACATTACCATGGGGTATGGACTGGACAAGAAACTGATGTTGAATTTCTTATACCTTTAGTAAAGACATACCGGCCATTGTACAAGCGTAACGGGAAACCAGAATTCCAGTCGACAACCTGAGGTCATTGCAATCGACTATCAAATTGACCAGAGCATAACCAATCTAACAAAACTGTTTTTTCTAGACGTATTACATAGCTGGTTGCCAAGCGGGAATCTTGAGATTTCCGTACATCGCAGGGGCATTTACAACTAACAATATGTATGCCAGTTTGAAGCTTTTGCACAGTGAAATAAAAAAGTGGTTTATGCAGGAGTCCATTGCATACTAAATACCAGTTAAACCGTCTTGAACTCCTCGGAACCAAGCAAAACATGCTGATTCATTTTGGGATAGGACTACCGGTGTGTGATGCACACCTTCCATTCACATACCATTGTAACCAATGCTGAACAGAGGATAGATTCATCAGCCTATTGTTTACATGTGATGGTACTAGAAACATTAGAAAGCATTACTCGCTGACACGTTCAAGCGAAAATTCAGGGTTGCCGATTTTTCTCGTTACTAATCGCTGTTGTTTTGCACTAGCCCTGTCCAGTAGTATCTATTTGTATCAACATATCTACGGTTCAGGGTACCCTGTGAGTTCAGATTGCCGACTGTCAACCGAAATACGGGATCACCCCTCTCCGGATACCTCAGTCTTCAGAGTGGAAAGGGTTGGGTTGCACTGCACATACTCTTGACATTCAGGGTCTAATGACTTTGTCTTCAAAACATTTGTGGGTTTCATACGAAGCCTACACATTAAGTCAAGGGCTTGAAGGGCAGCCACTGTAATACGATAATAATTCTTACCAATTTTTGGACGTGTTCCATAATCCTGGTCGTCATTTGCAGCCAAAAATGGGGGAACAAACACCAGGCAAAGATGATTTTACTCTTATTGTTCTCGTGAGATACGAATAAGTAAGTTGCCAATGCAGACAATGCAAAAGAAGATTGGAGGAGCGTAGCCCGTCGCCACAATGTAATGCACAAAACGGTATACTCGTAGATAAAATCTTAGGCTCGTCAGTAGAGTGGCCTAGTGAACACTGGTAAATAATTTTTATTGAATTTAATACTAATCAAATCATCGAATGGATATCTAGAGATTGTACAATAACCCAGGACGAGATCACAGTCAACACATGCGCGCCGCAGTCACTCAATCCGCAATCCGAATATGGTTAACTTGTAGAAGTTCAAGTAAAGCAGTACGTCAAAATGCCGTGAGTGTCAACGCTGATCCTGAAGCGATACTTACACCAAATGCCATCCTGTGAGGCTGAACCTTGCATGATTATTTGCATAGACAATAGCAATCTCAACCTTTTTGTCGTGGTTGATCTAGTTTTGACAACAATGGTTAGAACGGTTATGTCTAGTAGCGTATGCTCACAGTGAATTGGAGTCATGTGTGACGAGGGATGAACATTGCAATTAAACACAGTTCCTTCACAAGAAATGGGGTTTAAATGTGTTGCATGAATGTACGGGAAGGATAATCCGTGTGATGTTGTTTATCTCACTAAAATTTAATCTACTTTTGCGGAAAGACAGTAGTATATTGAGTCTGATCTTCTTCATCTCTGCAGATATCCTCCCTCGAGACCGATAAAAAATTTGTGTATGGTCGTCGCACGAGGAGTTAGTATATGAGTGCGATGGATGAAACTGGACAGTTCTGATGTTACAGTATCTTAATATAATTATATATATATATTATATATATATATAAATCTAATGGTTA